TTCTTCAGCTTACCTCTTGAAAGGAAGAAATCAGCAAATGGAGTAATGATCCTACCACCCTTCTCAGCATCACCTGCTCAAATTTCTGTCAGATTCTGCAGCCTAAGGAACAAGCTTTCCATTTCCAAGCCACAAAGAGCCTTTCCTGCAGTTCACAACCTATAAACACAAGACCCTCAGGAGCCTCTTCCCTCAACAGAGGAATGACACTGCACAAAACCAGCACTTTAAAAAAATCACTACTTGTTCTTAGTCAGTTAGACCTCAAAGTTCCCTCTTGCATCTGAAAGAATATCCATTTGCTAGAGTACTGCCTAGGAGATTGTGGAATGGATCAAAAACATAGAGACCCAAAGTGCAACAGAACAACCCTCTAAGGACTGCTCGGTTTTCACAGTCATTTTGGTGGAACCTGAAGCGAGGGAATATGGAAAGAAGAAAATGTGCTTCCTGCAGAGAATGTATGTTCGAAAGTGCCCGAAAAGAGACTGAAAATGTGACTGCCTATGTTCAGGATGCACAACGTGCAAACAAGTGCTGTTCATTAATTAGTCTTAACAAAGGTCTGTTTAACAGGATGTGAAGAACAAGAGGTAGAAGTAGCCTCTTCACAGCTGCATGAAGGAGGTATCTGTTGCTCCATTAGAACTCAGATGGGAATTTCTTCTCCTCCCACTCTGTGAAGCCGCCTCATATTTCACACAGCTTTACACTGCACTGCTGTTCTCATTCCCATGGCCATAGCCAAGGAAGACAAGACTAAGACTTAGAAAGTCATCTAAGTATGTGCCTGGATGTTTGTTTTTTTTCAAAATCAAGAAAATACACATGAAAAAAGTTGGACGTAAAAACCAGACTGTTTGAGGAGTTCCCAATTTATTTCAAAGCAACCAACCACAAGATACAAGATGGGTTCCATGAAAGCAGTGTTACTACTTAAAATACAAGGTGACTTCTGTTCTGCTTTGTGACTACCTCCTGGTATCTTCTGTTTGAAGAAAGCAAGCAGTACAAAACATCTTCAGTCAAATGCAGTACAAGCCCACTGTCCCAGAGAAGCTTTTAACACAAGTATACTTAACTTTGCATCCAAGAACCTACCATAAAGGTAAGCCCGATTCCATCTTGGTTGTACTAAAATATCAGTTCCAGAGTCTTCAAATCCCTGAGTAGAACCACCAGCCACTGCAGAACTGTCAGCCTAAGTCTGTAGGGACCCTAAAAACAGAATCAAAGTGGTCTGCAAGTTCTTTACCCATATGCCAACTATTACACTTTCCCTATCAACACCATCAATTCTCACTCAAAATCATACTGTGCAGAATGTATATATAACAAATTAACTAGATCTGTACCAGTATTGCCAGCACTAGACATGGTCCCAGGGAAAAAGGAAGATACTGCAGACAGTATCTTGAAATAGGTTCTTCAGTATCCACTGCCATTTTTATTGGATGCTTCTTTCATTTTCCTGAGAAATAAAATGCTCACACACATTCATAAAATGCTCTTCTACCAACTCCAGCTGGCTAGATAAGCACATCCATAAAGGACAGAAACAGCAGTAGCACAGAATTCTCAGTGCACCACAGAAATGATTACTTATAAGCCTTAAAAGATTACACCCTCAGAGTGCTGAGAAACAGCCTGATGAGAAACAGTTGGGACCTTGAGTAAGCCAGATCTGTCAGAAAGAATGCTCCTTTCAAAACCAGCCCTTGACATGGAATTACACAGCTCTCCATAAAATGACAGATTGCCTCTTTGAAGACATCACACTACATGTAAGTGTGATGGTGCCTCTCAAAGAAGCCCCTGACCAGCAAATAAATCAGAGGACAGAAATCTGCATCTGAACAATGTGGTCCTGAGCTTAAGAGTGGATGAAAAGCAAATTGTAGTCTAAGGATCACCACCCAGAGTTGTTTTAAAAAAAAAAATAAATACTGCCAGACTGCAAAGCACAGGATGATGTTGAAGCAACGATCTTGGAATAAATGAAGCTCTTCTAACAATGCAGAAATTTACAGAGCTATGTTCTGCTCCTCTGCCAGCAACAGCAAAACACTTAGGAGAACTTTCGACAGAACCAGCATTTAATCCCCTACAGTGTCTGTTTGAGGTAGTCTGTGTCCTGCCAACACCAAATGTCTTTGCTAGCTGCAGATCTGACATGAATGCTGACCCTGCCCAGGGAAGTCAAGGAGTACTTGAGAAAATGTGACCTGTAGAACAGTAGGTAGAAGATGAAAGGTTTAGAAGAGCACCTAAGCCAACACAAAGCAAACCTGTAAGACCTCACAAGCATAAGCATGGCCATAATGTAGAGTTTATGTTCACAGAAGGAAGCCAGTATAATAATCTTGCTCATTTGTAAAGACAGTAAATAGAAAGGTAAATACACAGACTGCCATAGAGATGTGGGTATGAAGATGGGAGCCTTACACACTTGGAATAGAGTTTGCTATCAGGTACAGTAAAAGGCAACAGTCACCCCTGTGAGTATTTCAGCTTCTCAAATCCTGGACTGAAACTCATGATTTACTGGTAGGCAGACCCAATTCCCCCCTTCCTACCTACTATCAGTACCAGATCAACACGATAGAAACTATGTGAACAATGGTTTTGAAGGAAACTTGGTATTTTGAAATAAGATCAGAAGAACTCCATGGAGCAGCACTGGACAAAAGGGAAATGGTTTCTCAGTTCTCCCACAAGGAGGAAAAGGAAAAAGCTCTTAGCCAGGTAAGACTTCACTGTCTGGACAATAAGATAAACACAACCTCTCTGACAATTCATGGGAAAGAAAGGAAAAGGAAAATTTGGTAATTTAAATACTTTTAGAATATGTAATTAGAAGCTTTCTCAAGTTATAAGATGACAACTGGATTGGCATGATTTTCAAGTTCAAAAAGCATTTATCTATCTTTTACCTTTATCAAACCTCATTTAGAAGTTGGTTTTCATTAAAATTACAAGCATGCAATTCAAAAAGCCCCAAAGCCAAGTTATTCATCCAAGCGTCTTTAATAGCACATGAAGAAGAGGACTATTGTAACAAAAGACAATCTGCAGAAACAAAGCCTCTTAAGTCAGCCTATTTTCTGATCCTTGATATTCATAGGGTTCCATCAATCAAAATAAAAATCTAGGTCATCAGTATTTCCAGCCAGGACGCAGGAAATAAAAACAGGACATCTTAGGAACCAAAGGTTTACAGCAAAGCATGGAGAAAATCTGGTGAAGCTTCTAACAGACTCTTCTGGTATAACTTTAATCCTCTTCTACCCCAAACATCAGCCATTCCAGCTTTAATACCTCTTCCTATACTCTGAAGTCAAATGAAGAAGGGCAAAGCAGCATTTTTCAGCCCAAAAAGAACCTTGGACTGACAAGTATTTTATACATACACTACCCTAAATTCTATTTTTATATATACACTGCTGTTCCCCACCTATCCACCAATACTTGGAAAATAACACATCTACCATGTAGGATTTTCTCAATGCCAGGGAAGATACACTCTCAGAAAGAGGATTTTAACCAGAGCATCACAAATATGGTTTACCATCCAAATCTGCCCTTGGAAAGCTATTGTGAAATAAATTGGTATTTTCTTGTCTTTAAAGGCAAGAAAAGCATCTCAGTGTAGAATTCACTGCAATCCATGGATAAGATGATGAATTTCAGATGTTAGCTGAGACAAAGACACTGCCAAAAACTTGTTTCTGGTAAATCAGTTATACTTCAAAAGATACAAATCACACCTCAAAAGGCAGGGAAGGGATTACCAAGGGTTGCAGGTTCCAGTCCTTTGAAAAGAAAGGAGAGCAGGGAGGAAGCACCACCCAGGGCTCAGAGCATCTGCCAAGGAGAAAAGAGGGGTTCAGTCAACCCACTTGGACACAGGATGAGACACATCCTTGCTCCTGGGACCATCACACCAGCCCTTGTGAGTAGTAGACTAAGAAAGACAAGGTGGGGAAGCAAAGCCAGACTTTCCTACAGGGAAGGGTTAAGAACCTCCACAGAGTTATGGTGGGGTACCAGAGGTTTTATACAGGTAAGGGGGGGATTTCAGCCAATAACGTCTCCAGGGCAGTTTTGTGTACATTGTGTTTTTCCCATATTCCAAAGAGAGACCAGTTCTGATATGCTGCCCCTGGTACACCTTCAGCAATTAACTTTTTGCATCTGCTACTGGAAAACACCTGGAAAACGCAGCCTGTCGTAGGCAATGCAACAAACACTCCTGGCTTTGTCTTGCGGTGTTTTGCTAGATAGCCACAGTCAGCAAGCTACTGGTAATCCTGAAAAGGTCTGATTTCACACCAAAAGTCAGTCCTGGGCAAAGACTCATTTGCCATGTTGCTGTGTTGTTATAATGGAAAGTTTATAGCCCAAGGACAGCAAGAAAACCACCAGATCTCTGCATTAGTTTTACTACCTATTCAGCAGGGGAAGCCTTCCGCTCACTCTTCTCAGTCATCACCCCTTATCACTGGCATGCAACATAAATTCTAAAATATAATTAGCATCCAAATTAACTTCTACGCAAGCATTTTCTTTCAGCTCACCATTCCCATCAGGAGATAGAAGCCATGCATAAAAAAAAAAGACAACACTCGGGCATGGCAGCAGGGAAAAAAAGTTAGGCGAGACAGGTACACTGACTTGGTAGTAGAATAAAGAGTCTCAATAGACCTGGAAGAGAAGCAAAAGGGGCTAAAAGAAATGTATAAAAAAATGTGAATGCTCACAGAATGTTTAACCTCATTTCTGGCAACTGAGAGGCTGCAATATGAGCCATATGCACCATAGAGGGATCATCTGCTAAAATAATACTGTCATGTTTGCACTGAAACTTTCCAACACGATTTCTCAGAGAAAAAAAAAAAAGACAGGAAGAGCTTCTTGCCCTTGACACACAACTCCAGTGAAATTCAAGTAAACCTGGCCTATGCACAACCGAGAGCCCCAGTGTGTTCCAGATGACTTACATGACACCTTGCAGGACCTTCTGAGGATCCAGGTCAAATAATCTATCAACGTAATGGCGGCTACTGGCCGTGACCTCCTGCAGAGAGAGAAAAACAACTGTCAAGAGTTTACAGCAATTCATATAAACACCAAGGGCTAACACAGGAGCAAGTCTACAAAACCAACCAGGCAGGACAGCAGCAAACCCAGAGAACCTTATTTAAATCTGCAGAACGTCACCTCAGGGCAACATCCACAATTAACCCTGTGTTGAAGTGTGATCTAATGATGAGGGACTTCAACAACATGTTACGAGTCAAAGGTAATTAACAGAGTGCTCTTTATGAGCGGGGCACACAAAATGGGTCTGCTTCAGTTATCAGCACTGCCTTCAGTTCCAGTTTTATTACGTTTAATTGCAACAGAGCAAAAGCAGAAATTCCTGAAAGCAAAAGTTTCTGAGAGCAGTTAATGTTGCTCAAGAAGCATACCCACACACTAGCTCTCAAAAATAAGGAAGTTGGTATCAAACACTTTTCTGTAACTTACTGTGTCAGAACATGCCAAGACATCTCAGAGGTTGTCCTTCTACGCGCTGTCACACACAGCTTCCACAGGGACAGCAGCACATTCTCCACAACATTCCCACAGCTACTTTATAAGATCAAGTGAACTCCCTCCTCAACAACAGGACTATGCTTGTAAGCTAAATATTCATGCACCAATGATTTGTTATTCCCTTTGAGGAGATCCAAAGTTGCAGATGGCAAGCATTCCCAAAAACTAGAGTGGGAAGGGGGAAGGGAATTTTCCCTCCAGGTTCTCATCAACACGTGCCAGGGTGTTTCCATTATCTTGGGTTTTTTCCCTTTTTGCCAGCCCTACTTTTTTATTAGGCTTTTCCCATTTTTTCCTTGTGAGTTTTGCTTGAAAGAAGCTGTAAGGGAATTGAAAACTCTTTCTTGCTTTTTCAAGTATCTACTCTTGGACTGAATCTGTTCCTGCTTTCCCACCCAGATGTCAGAAGCACTTGCTTGTGGTCTCATGTAACTCAGAGGAATCACCAAGAGGCAGAAGTCTCCTTTGTCTCTAGAAATACTCTTAAATTAAGCCAAATAAATTTTACAGGTAAACTTCCACCACGGAACAAAAGACAAGATCTTTTCAAAACAGAAGCAGCAGCACTTTCATCTGTGTGTCCACATGTAAAAGACTCCAGGACTTCAGAGATGCCACTGCTTTCTGTTTCTAAAACATCCTGGCTTCCACCCTATCAAACACCAGGTTTGTAACGCGTAGCAGAAGGGCATTCCTATCCGGGCAAACAAGTTTTTCAGGTAGCACCCAAAAATAATTTATCAGCATCATCAGATTATTCCCAGTCCTCTTCCCTCGCACGAAATGCCAAGGGGAGAGAAAAAAAAAAAGACAAAAGCCCCAAACCTGGGCTCTTGGGGCGCTCTCCGGGCTACACCCCTGGGCTCCCAGCCCCGGGGCCACCACTCGGTGAGCCCCCCGGGACCCCCCGGGCCCGCAGCCCCGGGAGCTCCCCCCGGGGACCAGCGCTGCGGCCCCGCGGGGCTGGCAGAGCCCGCCGGGCCCCGGGACCCTCCCGGTGCTGAGCGGGAGTTCCGGAGGGACGGCGAACGTGTGCGGGAGGGCAGGGTCGTGTCACCGGGTGAAACACGCCGAGAACAGCCCGCACGGGACAGACCCGGGACAGGCTCCCCGGGGGCGGGGCGGGGAGC